GCATCAAAGTGGTATCATTTTGAATCACAGTACTCCTACATATGACAGCCTAACGATTAAAAAAAAATGTGCTTCAATTTATTCAACCCCATATCATCTCAAAGTTTGGCCCTTTTCTGGGACGCTTTTTTGACCCTAAGGGAGAGCTATTATTTGTCATATTCTTGACGTTTCGTTTTTTGTTATTGTATGTATTATTGCTGATTTATTTTCCTCTTCGGGTAAAACGGTACAAGAATGTTATCAATATCAGCTGTAGTTTATAATCATTAGTCAAGAGCAAGATGTCCACCGGGATGTCCATTACAACAATGCGGGTCAGTTTATCATAATTATAACATCTGGATTAAGAAATACCAGACAAGCTTTTAACAAAAGACACGAAGCGATACATGTTTTGATAAATCATTCTTCTCGGGAACAAATTTAGCAAACTGTTTTTCAGACGAATATAGACTCTTGACTTCCATCGATCTATAATTATGATGATTGGGAAAATATTAACGAAATTAGGGAAACATATGCGCCGAGCAGATGATATCAATCTGGAATTATGTCGAATTGACTACCATCATTAGAGTGTTCTAAATACAATAAACCTCCGTTATCTGGATTAGTTTCATATACCATTTACTACCAAAATTAAAAAAACAAATAAAAATGAAAATAATAAATATAATAGTCATTGTTTGTATCTTTTAAAACAACAAATTTCAATAACGATTGCCATACATATCCATAATAGAACGTGATACATGCTCACCGTTTTATTCTCCGTTTAACAAATCAGACAGGGTGAAAATGCTTAATTATCGCGTTCATAAAAGCTTCTCATCACATCTTATATTCATGCAATGCTCTAAATCAGACTTCTAAAAGCAGATCTTGACAATAGCGATATCATCTGCAAAACCATCACAACAAAAGTGACGGAAGAGGGAGGTGTGTAATTTGATATGAATAGTTTCTTCCACTTTTTTCTGCATCTATCCCATAGGTCAATCAGGGCCTGGGGTTGAATGCATGCATCTTACAAGACACCCAGAATCAACACATTTGCACCATACAAACCCTTGTAAATGCTGCCCTACTTTCAAAGTATTTCAAGACCCTTACAGCAGTCAGCAGGTGTCACGTTAACCCCTTCACCACACCCCCTCCCAGTAACGATGGTGTTTGGCTGAAGATCTAAACGATCTATGACGTAATTGAAAGACGTTAGCGTCTGGTGAATTTTACAAATCTCTAGCATCAATCATATTTTAAAAGATGCATCCCAGGATGCCATGTTGTCCTACTTGTGCTATATCAAAGTACTTGGAATTGAAAATAGGATCCCTTACTCTCTTTATAACTCTCTCATACAATCATAAAGCTGAAACTGATTCCTAAGATCTTCTTTCCTAAATATCACCATGTCCTTGAATGATTGACAGGAAGTCCTCCAGGGTGTTGAAGGAGGAACGTAATATGAGCAGTTTTCAAAGACAGGCTCTCGGGAGGATAATCCAAGATTATTAAGATCAGCATACATATCCAAGTCCGTCTCGTTGTGATGACGGAAGAAATTATACGTACGTTCATAAAAAAAAGGACACTTCAGTCGAGAAAATGGAGAGGGCTTTTGTCTCTTGCCCAAATACTGACATGGAACATAGGAAATACATGCAATAGAAAGGCAGCATAACATTCTGTGAAAAGTCAAATTATGCAAAACAAAATCAAGACCACACATGCATGTTCTATATTTCGATATAACTTTATTGGCTCTATGTGTGGATTGCAATCAGTGTGACAAATAAAGAACCCAAAACTTCACACAAAATATGATGCCAAGGTTCATGAAATTATCAAATAACAATGTGACATTTTATGTTATGGTAATGTCACAATACAAACAAAAGTATGAATGTGAATATCATACAAAAATATAAGAATGAAGATAAACAAATCTGCACCTGAAATAGGATTTTGCTGACTAAGATTTGGGGCATGATCAACTAAGACATTGTATGCATCATTGCTCGGTGAGAGTTGTAATGATACAATTCAAAACACAACCCAAGTAGATAAATAGGTACCCTGTAATACTACCAATACTGTAAAAGACCTACAATAAGTAGGGGGTAGATTAAATAATGACTGTACCTTGTTAAGTTTGCTAATACTCAGTATTGAATACTACAAACCTTGTTCTTTAACATTGTTTGTCCGTTAGTACACTGACCCATATAAATAGGAGCATGTGTCAAAGCTTTATATATGTAGTAGCATTGATCTGAAAAATAATGTGAAAGCAACAACAAAAAATATTGTTACAATAAATAAATGATAAAACCCAATTCATTTTATCTTCAGTCATGGTAATGGAATGCTTTTCACAAGAAACTGACTCAAAAGTAATTCTGCTTCATTTATCATGCAGATAGTTTGGACTAGCAAAACATGAACTAACCAAAAATGTACTTGCTAGAAATCACATTCACTTGAAAGCACATTTCATATTTGCACTTCAGAGACACCATATTGTGCACATGTGTTGGGACTACTAGCCTAATACACCAGTTTACGGTTACAACAGTGCGCACGCGTGGGCGTCATTTTAATTTACGAGTAAACAAACCAAATGACCTCTAGAGAGTAAACGAACCAAATAACGTCTAGAGTAAATTAAGATTGCGCCCATGCAAAATATGATGTGAGCGCACATGGCAGTGATGTCATCATAATTTGCATGGGCGCAATCTTAATTTACTCTAGACGTTATTTGGTTCGTTTACTCGTAAATTAAAATGGCGCCCATAACCGTAAACTGGTGTATTTTCTCATATTTAATTGTCTTTTACCCATCTGTTGTATACATGTATGTATATTCCTTACCAAAAAAAAAGGAGATTACTCTCAACCTTGAAACAGGATTTAATTCTTTAGAATACACGGAAGTGTAAGAAAATATTTAATTGGGATATTAGTCTCAAACCTTTTGGGAACCATGGACTTATCAAATATCTGTGGTTAGTGTTGAAGACCCTAGAGTCCTGTTTCATTATTGATAACAAGTGTCACAATTTCAATGACATTATCCTCTCACAGCCAATCAAATGAAGTTATTCACAGTAGTATATAACTGTTCTACTTCTACTTCTATGGTAATACTCATCAACGCCTGTTCAGCATCTAGATGAGGGTAAAGCATAGAGTTGTTACATACAGCTCTATACGGTACAGTTCCTGAAAAGGGAACTAAATTGTTTCAAGAGCCACCTTGAACTGCTCCAAAGAAGGCAGTTTGACGATGTTCTGTTATGTTAATAATACTAATTTTAATGAAACAGGGACAAGATATCAATCATTTTTTGTAAAGAGATGGTATTGTATAGAATTTCAATGGTTTAATTGCATTTAAGACCATTCATGAACCCTATGAAAAAACTCTTGACTCTAAGGTTTAAGAACTACTATTCCTAATAGTCATGCAATAAGATATTGTTTCATATCAGTTCATATGAGATGTCATGTATTTATACGTTGGTTTAAGTAGTCACAAAATAAGCTTTGGTATTTAAGGAAGAAGGAAAATACACATAAATCTATTCTAAATCCTATCAATAACCAATAAGCCCGTTCACGGTTGCAGTCTGAGCATGAGCAGATAGAGGTCATTGCAGAACAAATTTTGAAATACACGGAGACGAAATACTGGATACGTGCTCATGAAATTTATGTAACATTATTCATTCATGCACATTCAGTGCAATCCATGGTACACAGGTGGAAGTATTCTTTGAAAAGGGGGAACAAAGGCTATTTATATAGCACCTCCATCGCTGTAAGAGTGATTATTTCAAAATGTAAAAAGTGGGACCTCTTCGTGTTTTGAAGATCTGTGGATATTCGGGGTCATTGCAGTAAGGTGCTAACCGTGAACTGGTCTATTGCTCAACCAAATTATTCTGTAATAAAATGTCACTTCTTATCAAACTCTTTGGTTATACATCATAAAAGGCAGTTACAAATATATAAATACAATAGCATTTTACTATTGTTTGACATTATAAGGTTTCACATTTATCACAAAGCCTGAGAATACACAGATTCATAAATTGTCTGTTCCAAGGCAGAAGGGCATTAACTCTGTACTAAGGTATAAACATAAGTTAACAGCCTTCTGGCTCCAAACAGACGATATTGCAATTACAATTTATGCAAATTTAGGACACTGAAAACATGACAATGACTAGATTTTGGAAGATGCTGCATTATGATTAAATATAATAATTAAAACCTGGCAATTATTCCTTATTCAGGTTGTTATTATTCATAGTGGCTTAGGCATGGTGGCTCAGTGGTTAGAGCGCCCGCCTCATGTACGGGAAGGTCGTGGGTTCGAACCCCGGCCGAGTCATACCAAAGACTTATAACAAAACAATGGGACCTTCTGCCTTCTAGCTAGGTGCTCAGCATATTAGATTGGAGAAGGGTAGTAATAACATATTATGTTATGCAGGGCCTGCTGGAAGAGCAGTTTCATAACTGAAGTGGCTACCCTGGGTAAATAAAACGTTAGTATTTATTTTATTTATAAAAACAGAACATTACTATCAAATTTACAAGGTTTTCAAAGCCACCAGAGAATAAAAGACATGATTAGTATTGAGCTTGAGTGATGTCACACAAGCCACACAGCTGATCACTGATTTGGAGCCACGGTGAGTTTACTCCCAATAAAAGGGTTAGGATAACAGGGGGTGTTTCATAAAGCTGTTCATAAAGTTACGCATGACTTTACAAATGACTTACACATTAAGAGCCAAATGTAATGCTTAATCATTAATAACTGCATCAACTAAAGTTAAACTATGCAGATGTAGATTAACATTCTTATAATAACAAACATTTCTAATACAAAGTGTATTTTTTTGCCATAATTTAATTGAGGTTATTGGAAATATAGTCACACTTTGTTAAAACAGCAGGAAAAACTTTGGGCATCCTATTTGGCACTTCATATACAAGTCAATCGTAAAGTCATGCATAACTTTACGAACAGCTTTATGAAACACTCCCCTGAAATGTTATTTACATGACGTGAAAGGATATTCTTTAGCAAGAATCTCCTAAATTTCTTAAATTTCATGTGTAATTAAAAAAAAAAATATCTAGTTATAGTCTGATCGTTTTAAATGCAGTGGTGACCTTTATAATGAAGTCCATACTCTACTATACACAGGGTGATCTAGTTGGTTCTATCAAGATTTCATTTACACCTACACCTTGTGGTTGAGAGGCTGCATAGACTATAGCTCTACCTATATCCTCTGGATTCATGCATTTGTTCTCATCTACATCTCCATACGCCTCCAGTGCCTAATGTCAGGAAGATGAAAAGAAAAAAAACATTGAGGATACTGTCATCGAAATGAACTTGTCTTTCAAGAACAAACCCACTATTTCATGAATAAATGATACTGATCAACAAAGAACTACTTGTAATAAGTTAGAAGTGACCATTTTAATAGAACCCTGTAAAATCAATAAATATACGAAGTGAGAAAACAAATGCTTATATAAGATAAGTGTAGTCTACATGATACAGAGTTTTATTCCTGCCACAGTAACTTATAATACGACCCCTCACAATGCTTAGATGTAAACATGAATGGTCAACCAACTGACCCCTGAAATTTGGCTACTCAACTTAAGAATAAAACATTGATAATGTGAAGCATGAATGCATGAGTAAAGGAATATTATGAATATACTGACCTCTTTATCAAAAGAAATATCACCAAAGTCTGAAATCACATCTCCCGCTTGAATGCATGTGACCTTGATCCCTTGATCTTTGACCTCCATACGTAATGACCTTGACACTCCCTCTACAAAGAATTTAGTTCCAGTGTACACAGCAAATAATGGAAAGGCCTAGAACAAACAGATGGATAAAATCAATATGTGTGAATTAAAGTGAAAGAATATGATGTCACATCCTATACCTTAATAGATTTTGAAGCCTCGGCATTGATTCAGCACATTACTGCATGATTTACTTTGTTTGAGCACGTACTATGAATTCCAGACCACCCTTGCTTGGCATTCATATGAATGAAAGTGACATGTTTAAATATATAACAATATAAGGAAGGAGATGTTTCATAGTAAGAAAATAATTGGGCTAGTCTTGTTTGTGAACTGATGGAAGAAAAAGATGATCATGCACTAATACATATGTATCAAAACACTAAGGCATACCTCGATACATGATGATCCTAATAGCAAAACAATAAGACATAGAAACATTGATACATAGATAAAATCAGCTGAATGATTACTATTGATGGTTGGATAGTGAAAGAAGCATCGCAAGAGAAGCAGACTGACACACAATTGTGCAATAGATGTACTTTTCAAAATGTATGTATGTATTAAAAGTAATGTAATCTTTCAATTTGTAAAATGTATTACTTTTCAACCATGATATTTGTTTGATATCCCAAATGTTCAGTTATTTTCGTTTTTTTGTTGTTGATCCTTTAAAGTAGAAAATAAAGTATAATGAGGACTACTCACCGCTCTGCCTGCATTGGATGATATATTAACGATGTGTCCTCTCTTCCTCTCCATCATCCCAGGTAGTACCGCTCCTATCCCATTCAACACTCCCTATTAAGCAGAAATAAATCAAAGGGACATGGTAACATAGTTCAGATGAGAGAAAATGGTGCTAAGGTAGTGACTTCGATGCTAGATGGACGATTAAAGATAATTTGAAAGTTTGAGTAAAAACAGACCATTATTAATGATAAAAATTGGGAAAACTGATCTGATTGATTCCTTAATTCTCCCAACTGTTGGTAGTTGTAAAGTGCATCAGTGTATTTGTTTATTTAAATACTTTATATATTTGAAAATTTCATGGAAGTTTATAAAACTTATGTAAGTAAATAATGGAAGAAAAAAACAACAGGTGATCAATTCAATTATTTCTCCAGAAAATTGGTCTTTCTTTCATGCTGCATGAAATAAAGATGTTTTCACTTACTTTGCAGTTAACATCAACCATTTTCTCCCAAGCATCTTCATGAAGATTCTTCATGTATGTGATATATCCAATGCCAGCATTGTTGACCAGTATATCCACTGGACCAAACTCTTCCTCAGTCTTCTTTATTAAATCCTTGACCTAAGATAAGAAGAGAAATTATAGTGTAAGGCCTGCATTGTGCATTAATGTCTTGCAACATCAAGTTAAAAGCTCTTAAGGATCTGGCAGCCATCATAACCAGGATATAGTTTTGAAAATTAAAACAAGTCTAAAACATTCCAGCAACAAGATCAGAAAAATAAACCCACTGTGAATAATTACAACAACTAAAACAATTTGGAAAGGATTCTAGCACATCATTTTTCAAACCAAATGTATCATCTCAGATTTACAGAGAATGCACTTATCATACTTTACGCTTGGTGAGCTGATCACAGGGTAAATTCAGTCAAAATGTTCAACATGGTATCAGGCTGAATAGTGAATATAACGGTAAATCTATACATTATCACTAGTTATAGGCCTAATGGCAATGCTAAATAGTTGAAAATAATATCATGGATTAAGTCAGATTATACCTGTTGCCTCACTGTGACATCCGTCTTAACAAACATTGCCTTCCCTCCTACATCTTCTATCTCTTTCTTCACATCCTGTAACTTTTCCTCCCTTCTGGCGGCAAGGCTTACGGATGCTCCTGCTTTAGCTAGCTCCAAAGCGATACCAATACCAATACCACTGGATGCTCCGGTTACTATGGCAACCTTGCCCTGAAGGAGCCCTGGAAATCAGACAGGAGAATCAAATGAAACTATATTTTGAGTGAAAAATATATTTTGACTGAAAACTGAAAACAAGTACATAACCATATTTAAATATACATTTTGTTACTGATTTCACAGATACAAATCTAATATTGGTGAAACAATTTCAGAAGACCTCCAACTCAACAAATAACATGATCCCTGATCCTATAACATTCATTGTACTGATGCATGGGATGGGTAACCTGCAGTTAAACTAAAGTGTACAATTGTCTTCAATGGGACTATCATGTCTCCTACTACTAATAGTAATTCATAAGGTTCCCTAAGACATACTTTTCATGCCCCCCCTAAATTTCCAGGATCGGTTACATTTTTTTAGACCCCTTTTTTTACCTCGATAGATTACACGTATGTGCCCAAACATCAAACTCTGGCTACGTGCCTGCTGATCATACTACTCCTACCAACTCCAATCAGCATATCACTGATGAGGGGCTACCTATGGCGCGCCATATGCCCAATAACCCCAAAAAACATTGTTTATCGCCGATGAACAAGGTTCATCGACGAAAAACAAGGTTTATCGAGCGAAAAACAAGGTTTATCGAGCGATAAACCTTGTTTATCGTGAGAAACTCTGTATATCGACTGATAAACACAGTTTCCCTCGATAAACAAGGATTATCGATAAACAAGGTTTATCGAAAAACACGGTTATTCGTATTTTGTCAGGAGAGGGCGCTTTTTAAAGTTGCACCCAGCTCAGAGCACTGCTCCGCACGTGCGCTTTACACCGTAGAATATACCAACACCGTAACACTTGCTCGCGCTCATGACCACTATCGACATTTTCTGAGTGGAGGTATGGCGAAGTATTCTTAATTCCAGGCTTTTTCCCCAATTTTTGAAATGTTATGTTTATATATCTCTCTCTAGCCCTCTCTCTCTTTCAAACTTTCTAGGTTTTCCCCTTCTCTTATCTCTCTCACTCTCCCCAATTCTTTCTCTCACTCTCTCTTTCTCCTACCCTCTCAATATAACCCTTCTGTCTCTCCCTCTCTTTCTTCTAATTCTCTCTTTCCCGTTCTCTTTCCTTTTTCTTTCTCTGCACTCCCTCTCTGCCTACTCCCCTTTTATCTATTTCCCCCGGTATGAGAAATAGGGTAGAGATAGATGGTTGGAGAGAGAGGAGAGATACAATCAGATAAAGGACAGATAGGGTAGAGATGTATAGATGGAGATAGAGGACAGATAGAGGGGAGATAGAGGAGAGATAGATCAGGAATAGATGGATGGAGATAGATTGAGAGATAGAGGAGAGTTAGGGTAGAGATAGATGGATGGAGAGATAGAGGAGAGATGAATGAGAAATAAAGGAGAGATAGAGCAGGGAAAGATAGATGGAGATAAAGGAGATATAGAGCAGGGTAGATGGATGGAGAGAGAGAGAGAGGAGAGATAAAGGAGAGAGAGGAGAGATGAATGAGAGATAGAGGAGAGATAGAGCAGGGATAGATAGATGGAAATAAAGGAGATATAGAGCATGGTAGATGGATGGAGAGAGAGAGGAGAGATGAATGAGAGATAGAGGAGAGATAGAGCAGGGATAGATAGATGGAGATAAAGGAGATATAGAGCAGGGTAATGGATGGAGAGAGAGAGAGGAGAGATAAAGGAGAGAGAGGAGAGATGAATGAGAGATAGAGGAGAGATAGAGCAGGGATAGATAGATGGAGATAAAGGAGATATAGAGCAGGGTAGATGGATGGAGAGAGAGGAGAGATAAAGGAGAGATAGAGGAGAGATATCGATCTATCCCGCTCTATCTCTCCTCTATCTCTCCTTTATATATATATATCTCTATCTCTCCATCTATATCCATCCATCTATCCCTGCTCTATCTCTCCTCTATCTCCTCCATCTCTCATTTATATCTCCTCTCTCTCCATCCATCTATCTCTACCCTATATCTCCTCTTTCTCTATCTCTCTCTCTCTCTCTCCATCCATCTATCCCTGCTCTATCTCTCCTCTATCTCTCCGCTATCTCTCATTCATCTCTCCTCTCTCTCCATCCATCTATCTCTACCCTTTCTCTCCTTTATCTCTCCTCTAATATTCACCATCCATCTTTCTCTCTCTCTCTCTCAAATCTCCATCCATCTATCCCTGCTCTATCTCTCCTCTCTCTCTCTCTCTCTCTCCATCTATCTCTATTCATCTTTCACCCGCTCGATCTCTCCTCTATCCCTCCTCTATTTATCCTCAATAACCATCCATCTATCCCCGCTCTACCTCTCCTCTATCTTCATCCATCTATCTTTAAAATATCTCTTCTCTATCTCTCTCCTCTCTCTCTCTCTCTCTCTCTCTCCATCTATATCCATCCATCTATCCCCGCTCTATCTCTCCTTTTCCCCTGCTCTATCTCTCCTTTTCCCCTGCTCTATCTCTCCTCTATCTCTCATTTATCTCTCCTCTCTCTCCAACCATCTATCTCTACCCTATTTCTCATACCGGGGGAAATAGAGGAGGCAGAAAGGAAGTGCAGAGAAAGAAAAAGGAAAGAGAACGGGAAAGAGAGAATTAGAAGAAAGAGAGGGAAATACAGAAGGGTTATATTGAGAGGGTAGGAGAAAGAGAGAGTGAGAGAAAGAAAGAGGGAGAGTGAGAGAGATAAGAGAAGGGGAAAACCTAGAAAGTTTGAAAGAGATAGAGGGCTAGAGAGAGATATATAAACATAACATTTCAAAAATTGGGAAAAAAGCCTGGAATTAAGAATACTTCGCCATACCTCCACTCAAAAAATGTCGATCGTGGTCATGAGCGTGAGCAAGTGTTACGGTGTTGGTATATTCTACGGTATAAAGCGCACGTGCGGAGCAGTGCTCTGAGCTGGGTGCAACTTTAAAAAGCGCCCACTCCTGACGAAATACGAATAACCGTGTATTTCGATAAACCTTGTTTTTCGATAAACCTTGTTTATCGATAATCCTTGTTTATCGAGGGAAACTGTGTTTATCAGTCGATATACAGAGGTTCTCACGATAAACAAGGTTTATCGCTCGATAAACCTTGTTTATCGGCGATAAACAATGTTTTTCGGGGTTATTGGGCATATGGCGCGCCATAGCTACCGCTATGCTAGCCAAGCCAAGTCAAATCAAATTGAGCAAGTGAATGCAATGAAGTCGAGTATTTTTAAATTTCTCTCAGTTCCATATCTACATAAGTAGACGCAATGGCAATGCAATTGAATTAATTTAGAGTAGACCCTTCTAGTACTACTAGCTCTAGGACTAGGCCTAGATCTAAATGTTTATTCAGGGAGATCTCCCTGGTTTATTCAACTAAATACCTGTTGATCCTGAACTCGAATTTGCTGATGTATTAGTCGCCATCTCAATGAGATCTTATTCTAGGTCGATTCCTTCTTTTTTATTCCAAAGGGAGAGAATAATTTGTTGTTCAGTCCTCGATCAGACAGACGTAGGTGCTCGTGGTGGAGAATCAGCTGGAAAAGTCACGTGATCTTACACATGGCTCGCGCTATACGTGTGATCACCTGATAAATTTATGTCATTGTTGTACGTACGGGGATTCGTTATACGACGATCGATTGAAAACTGTAACAACATGGCGGACGGAACTGAAGAATTATCTGTGGTCGTCGAGAAGTTTCGGCTTATCAATGAGCCTAAAAATCACTGGGAGGCCAGGAAGAAATTCTTGTTGAATAACTGGGATGATTACCCGGAAATGCAGCTAGTTTCATTGTCGATGGTGTGGGCCAACATGCAGTTCGATGGCTGCAAGTAAGTACACCGAGAAGACAACTATTTTTGCATTTTGGGAAGTGTTGCGCTGTTGTCACTGCATGCTGTACTGTGTACATGTGCATGAGTGTGTGGTTATATGACAAAACGCTGTGACCTGAGTTGTGCTGTGTGAGTGAGTTTGTCCCACGTACACTGCACTGCACTGCGCCTCAGCGGTCACGTTAGTAAAGCCGTTAGCGCTAGTTCAGAAGCCTATCCAAAATTTGACCGGCATCTCCAGAGCTAGTACCAAGTATCACACATTTCGAGGGTCTGAAAATAATCTTACGCACGACGCGCGCTAGATTTTGAAAAAACGTTATACCTTATACGTGTGTTATACCCTCGCACGCGCGCTCGCGCGCCGAATCATGCAAATGTCAAGCATTGCCGATCTTTGAACTTGGCGTCTCTGCATCTCGGGCGTGGAGATACCTTACTAAAACATACCCAAAATGAAGTAAATATTCATCAAACAACCAAATAAAGCCAGCCTTTTAGCCAGGTCATGACTTCAAAGTCGTTGTGTTTCTTACCTGTTTTGTGTCAATTTTCTTATTTGGGGGGAAAAATGCTGATATTAGTAGACTAATACACTTTCTCACAGGTTTCACGGCAAACCGCTGCACAATACAAATGCATACAGATGGTGCGTTGCGGGCGCACGTGCACCTGTGTGAAGTTATCTACCGTAATGAGGATCTGACGGTACATACATGTATTTACGCAGACGTGCTTGTAGACCCTATCATGATTTGTATCATATGGCGTGCATGACATTTCACAAAATCTTTTATGAACTAAAAAGATTTGATACTATTTTCTGAGCATATAAAGAAAACAATTAGTGGATAGTGAGGCAATGACGTCACAGACTCATGAGTGAGTTGCCAATTTGTCTAATGATTTTCAAAGTTTTTCATGTCATTAAAAATTCATAATTTTCTTAATAGTTATCCGATTTTGCTCAAACTTTTTTTGATTGGTTTGTCTGGTTTTTTCTACTTCAATAGAAAGTAAATCATTTTTGGAGTAGACTTGCCCTATAATACAACTTAGTAAGAGTAAGGGAAAGGGACTCTAGGATTAGTCATTATACTTTTTAGTGTTACCTAAGAAACGAAAGTGTTTACATTTTGCTTCATTGATTGTGATTTTAGATACATTTTAGGTTTTGTTTACCTTTGTTTTCATTTTCACGCGGAGGTATGAGTGCCCATTAAGGCTAAGTGATACCTCCCCCCCCCCTCCCCCCCCCAAAAAAAATCTATGTGCAATCCGACCGGACGCAGGTAATGTGACCACTCCTAGGTAGAATTTGCCCACGTATAAAAAATGGCCATAAGTGTATGAATTTTTTTATTTATTCTCCCTTCTGTCTTTTTAATCTGCAACATAGGTACAACCCTGAACTTATGGAAAGGGTGGGAGAGCTGGCTGCAGGGATTGAAGTGACTCCTTCACATTGATGTCTGGATTGCATGCCTCCAATTGGGCCCCACAAAGATAGGAGAAATCCCATCATTCAGACTGCACCAAACTTAATTGAAACAAAAACACTAGTTAAAATGTAGTAAGAAGTTGAATCAAGACAATCATTTGAATATGTCAATTTTGAAAGCCGACCTGAAAATATGGAATCGTCATGTCATCCTCGAGCGAATCGGGTGATGAATCCGTCTGATATTCCATCATTTTCTCTCCACAACACTGGACTGATACTGGTTTGTCTTGTCTCATTTCTTGAAGATATTCCCCTGATCTCATGGACAGAGTGCGGGACATGGCAGCAGGAATCTTTGTTCAACCCTCTACGACAACATCACAATTATCATCCAAAGTAAGACCTCAAGAGCCTGCCCTTCTTACAGCATCTTCATGTAGAGTACAAGACGAACAACCAAATGAAAAGCACTTGATGAACTGTACAACAAGCCAGCATCCTATGTCACTTGGTGGCGTCGAGGCTAGCAGTAGCGAGCAGACGGCAGAGTCTAGGGAACATTCTTCAGCCAAGGATGTCAATGGGGATCATATAGTCATCAGCAAAGACACTCTTCTTTTTTCACTCTATCCATCAGATGGTAATCCAAAATTTGATAAATTGGTTAAACTATGTAGCAAAATCAAAGAGAAAGCCGTAAGAGGAAAGACGGATAAGCAAATCATAACGATGCTTTGGACTCTCCTGAATCAGCCAGATTGTCATAACCGATATGAATATCAACAAGTTAATGAAGATAGGCAAGTACAGTCCTGGAAGACCTACTTCTTGATAGGGGAGACATTGTGTGCTACTAATGTTTCTAGCTCAAAGAAAGCAGGGAAGGAAAAGGCAGTGATGTTGTTGATATCATTGGTGAAACAGCACAATGTCATCACACTTCAAGAAAGTTGTGAGGAGGAAGCCGGTAAGCTGGGCTTTGTATATGAAATAGTCTACATGAACGACAAACCTCCTCAAGGGTGTATGGCAAGCACTGACCAAGATCTCAATCAAGAGCAGACTGAGGATCAAACTATTCCCTCAGCGGAAGCAGACTTTCAGACCGAAGATCAGAAGAGAATATCTGCAGAATCCATCTTAGAATCCTTACCGCATCAGTTTGCAACACACGATCTGAATTCCTTTATTTTCGCAGCTCCCAAGCTACGTGGCTTTGTCTTATACGAGTCGAGAGAAGACCAGGAAAAGCTTGGATATTTCAATCCTGTTAGTACCATTGTCAACTCGTGCTCTATGTGTAAAGTACCATGCGAATTTGCTTCAGAGAAATGTGAAATTGGTTTGAGCACGGAGGGAATTGTATGCACTGTATTCATCAGTCATGAGAGGATTGCAACAGGTCTTGCCCTTGGGAGTCGAGAAGCTAAGCATCTTGCTGCTCACCATGCAATCAAGGCTCTCAAGATGACCAACCCTGTCCTAGTGAAGACCATGACAGGAGACGGTACTGAAGTCAATAGGGATGAGCTGACTGATCATGGTCCATCCAAAGAAGCAATGCTTCCAGAGACCAATGTCGGCCACAAGCTCCTGAAGATGATGGGTTGGAAGGGGGAAGGGGCTGGTCTTGGTAAGAGGGAGGATGGAATAGCAAACCCTGTCAAAGCTACTGGGTCTGGTTCCAAGACCAAAGAAGGTCTTGGCTGTGACATGGCAAGCTTGAGAAACCCACATACGAAGCGGCTGGAAGACCGTAAGGTCTGGGAGTACCTGCAAGAATTTGCTCGATCAGATCGTGAAGATGAACTGGTCTTTACCTCTGAGCTCAGCATAGATGAGAGGAAAAGGATACATGGCATATCTCTTAAGCTAGGATTAAAGAGCAAGTCTAGGGGGAAAGGGGACTCGAGGTATTTGATTGTAGGAAGAAAGTGGAGTGTTGATAAGTTAGTTCAAGCTGTTGAGGAGAAAGGAGGTAGCATGGGAGGCTATGAGTTACATGGTCCACCATTATGATATCATTATATATGAACTACAATTTTGTACAAAGTAATGGATTTGCTGTTCCAGAGTTTGACAAGCATCAAGCATAATCATGTTTTTGCCTCTTTTACTAACAGGTGTGTTCCTCTTTATTGTCTGTTCCCAATACATTGTGGTATACAGGTTTCCTTGAAAACATGGGATATAAGTCATGAATTAGATTACACAGTACTTCATAATAGCTGGCCAACATCAAAGGAATAAGAGAGACAGAAATGGATGTACATGTAGGCACTAGCAAAGTACATTGTAGTAGGTATTGCTGTATTAATCATTGATTGGTAAGCAAATCATGGTACATGTACACTGGGCAATACCACCTTAGACTGATGAAATATGTGCTGATTTTGGACCAGTATTTTCCACTAGCTACATGTATCTAAAAAAATCAGCAGTGTCCCTTTCATTGCTAAGTTTTAATTTTTTTAAAGTTTTACCCTCTGTATGAAACCATTTAATATTTAAAGTGTTTCAAATTCAAGATTGGATGAAATGGGGTGAAGGTGTGTGTGATCCATTCCTAACATCTCAGTCATAAGTTTAGCTGTAAATGAACAACCATGGCTCTTTTAAGTTTTAACCAACCTATTTCAGAAAGGATGAGCATCTTGCTAATGATTAAAGCATTTTTTACTGGGTCTTTCAGCTACCTACATGTAGTACCTGTTATTCTAATCTCATTTCTCCAGTATTTGTCAAGTAATCCACCTATAGCTTCACAAAATCATTCAAACAGGATGTACTGCACACAGGAAGCTTTTATAAGCTCAATGAGATGAGCCCTTTGTCTTGTTTTCTATGGACATTTTAATAGCGACTCTGTGTTGCCTGGCAAAGAGAGATTAGGCAGATGTGCTTTTATTGGTGAACTTTAAAGCCCCTTCTATGTGAATACCAGTACTAGAAGGTTGCATGTTTATTAAGGAAGCTGAGTTTATGTAAGTTTGGTAAACTACGTTGTACCTGTTAGCAAAATTATTTACTGTTCCGTGTACCACTTAAGAGCTAAGAATATCTGATTGTAGGAAATTTCTGTTTTATCATAAATTTCTTCAAGTCAGTAGGTCTTATTTTTTATTTCAGCCATTTTGTAACCCATGAAGCTAGAATATAGAAACATTGATATTTGAGACATTTGAGTAGGTAACGTGTTTTTTGCTAGAAAGCAAATCCTGATCAAGAATGTAAATGCTATACTACAAATTTTTAACTTTTTTTTTTCTTCTCTGGATTCCTGTTTTGTAGAGTGTAAAGTGGAAATTATTCCAAAGATTCAGCATTGAATAGAATGAAGATTAATATCCCAATCCAGATGACTTTATTTCTGATAAATTGTTTTCAAATCTAGAGTCATTTCAGCACCAAGAGTATGTTTTTTTTTCTGAAGAGAGTGCAGGCACTATCAATAAATTTTTTTTAATGAAGGGATGAAATGGTATCAATGTGTATTCTCTTTTCCTGCTCATAAGTGTTTTTTAAGAGAGAGATTCTTATTTGTTTATTTTTGTCCATCACATTGAGGAGCATGGCGGTTACCATTTTTTTTTTTTTACTGTATGTACTTATATTTATCGGTCATGTAGTGAGACATTATCCCATTATTTATTAAAGAAAGTTGTTTTCCATGTTCACTTTAGATAACTTGTTGCTGGCATTTTAGAAATTTCTTTTCTGAAAGAGCATAAACAATTTGTTTCATTTGTTTGCTGTATTCTCTCATCATATTGATTCAGAATTTTTTTGGAATAATGTTTTTGTAAAATAACCTGCTTTTTGCATTAAAATGCTATTAACTTTATTCTTGTATCTAATCTTGTGTTTGTTGGATAGGTGCAATATAGTGTTAACCCATAATCTTGTAATTTTGAAGTAAACACGTCAAGGTTCTCTCTCTCTTGTATGATGTTAGCACAATATTGCACCACAACCCTATATATACAAGTAAAGAGAGGAAAAGGATAGAATATGCAGAGGAACAGTTCCTTTATATTTTATGAGCGATGGCAAAATGCAAATGCAAGAGAAAGAGAAAGAGACAGACAGATAGAGAGGGAAGAGAGAAAGATAGGGGGTAATAAAAAGAAATGAAAGAAAAAAGAAAGCAAGAGAGAAAAATATAGGAAAAAGGAGAGAGAGCTTCCCATCATATCATGAGATGTTATTTGAGAGAGTTATACCGGTACTTGAAATAAAGATGAGACTGGAAGAGAGAGAGAGATAATGAGATGGGCAGTTGTTCCTACATATATATCATAAACCCAAAACGTTCATTCCTTGAGACAAAAGAAACAGTACATCACCCCAAAATCCATGATTTTCATCATCACCACAGAAATCTCACAATACACAAATACAGTGAAAAAAAAAACACGGGGGCTCAGGGCGAATTTGCCCCCCGAAATGCCTAAAACAGCCCCCGAAAATCAGAAAAGAGCCCAGTAAATTTGCATAGAGTTCAATGCAAAACAAATTTTAGAGTGTTATTTTTATGCAGGCAAGCTTGAAAAGTAGCCCCCGAAAAATAAATATTAATTTTTTCCCTGCACAAATACAAATAATACGTGTTGAATCCAATAGAATCAACATCTTTTGACAATCATTTCAATAAAAAAACATTTTATTTACAATCAAAAAAACAAAACAACAACATATGTAAACACAAAACTATATACAGTGTACATCAATGCTTTTGACTTCTCACACAGAAATCGATTGAAACAACACAAGTCACCCAAATGGTTCAACCCTAATACTTGTACATGTACCCTTTGGCAAAAGAACTGGCTTTACAAGTGCGAATATTGAGATTCATGCACCTGTGTAAAAAAAGGGGGGGAAAAAGAACACGTACAGATAACATATTGGGATGGGATATAGAGATGTTGATAAATAAGGCTAGCATCATGGAAGATTTTGTTCCAATTATATTTATTAGTAGCATCATGGAAGATGAACTTTGCATAGTAACTTCAGCTTAATTTGCATGAAGAATGGTTTAAAATCAATGAAGAAACTACAGAAATACTAAATTTGTGTGATTATCTTATAACACATTTCACAAAATGATGAAACAAATCTCTGGACTTCAAAAGTGCCTTTGAAATTGTCAAATACCACATTGAAGTCATAATATTTCCATATGGCATTTGGCCTATGTAACACTAAAAATCAAATTAGTTTGTTCATGTATATTCAAGCAACTTCATACACGGGCGTAATTATAATAATAATAATAATAGGCATTTCTATAGCGCCGTCTATCTAGATAATTCTATTCCAAAGCGCATTTGTTATTACCTTGACTTTAGCCTAGCTGCTGTTTAAACAGCGCTCCAGCATTTCAAGGAATTAATTCCTGCCAGGTACCCATTTACATCACCTGGGTTGAGTGTGACAAATGTAGATCGATGTCTTGCCAAAGGACATTAGTGCAACAGCGGGACTCGAATATCTTCAAAGGTTCATAACTCAAAGACCATGAAAAGACAAAATCCAACAAATCTTGTCATAAATATCTTAAACTATAATAAATTAATTTAAATCTTATGTACAGAGACCACTAATCTCCTTTCAGTTACAATGCAAGGCTTATATCGCACTAAACATGTTTCTGCTCTTTTTTATTCATTTTTTATTCTTTTTTTCACTGACATAAACATAAAGGCAATCTTTAGAGCTGGTCAAATTTCTGTCACTGAACTGTGTGAATATCAAGATGTGAAATAATAGAAAACCTGCACTCTTGCAAAATATACATGTACTCCTACAAATAATGTTTAGGTTCCTCCTTATGTTGGGTTTTTTAGAAATGGGAAGTTTCCTTGTTTTTATCATCTCTAAAAAATCATACCATTCAGGATTTTTAGGAAGCAAAACAAAATTACGATTTCTTTTATATAATTTGTATGGCTCTAGTCAAACCTCAATATTTCCTTAAAACAAATATTTGAAAACCTGAAACTGTGATAAAAAGTTAAATAAACATAATACGTACAGAATTTTTTAAAGACAATGGAATTTTTTGTCTGCTGGACTTTTTGCTGCATGCTTAGCAGAAGATCAAAATCAAAGCAAAATCTCTTTTACCTTATCTTTCCGGTATTGTTCAATTTACAAATCAAATCAAATCAAATTAAAACTCTCTTTTCATCCAAAATGAATTAAAGTCATATTTTGAATAACTGTCTTGCCATTTAAAGGGATAGTTGAGTTCTGTTGCAGAGGGCGCTACACAAAATAATTTTTTTGTGAGATACTGAAAAACTGAATGTCAAATTTGACAGAACATACAATTTAAACAAGAAAATTTAAGCGTGAAATATGCATCATACGAGTTGAATCAAATGAAAGAGGAGGATCTAAGCTTTACACATATGTGTCATTTATTAATTATAATTGTGATTAAGTTATGATAAAACATTGATGATTCTCAGTTTCATTTTTTCTGGGACGCACTGTATAGAAAACAATGCATAAGTGGTGCCTGATGGCCCCCCCATGATCCTCTTTTTCTTAAGTTAATTGAGAGCTGAGTTGATGAGATAGCCATCTGTCAGTGACCACGCTGTATGGTCTCATCCCTCCTGGGCAAACTAGTACAGACAGGCTTTAAGTGTTATCTGAGTGACTATATTGCTCTCTGTGATAAGAAGGAACTGCCAACTGCAATGGGTACACTGTCTGGAGCAGACTCTATCTCTTCTTCAGTGGGGAAATCAACTTGAACGGTGCGAAATCCAGTGTGACGTCTCATTCCCAACCCTCCTGGTGCTCGATTCTGTAACTGTTCAGAAAAGAGAAGTAACAAGAATAAGCAACTAAAAGTTGAATAATTACATCCTGTTAGATCTTTATACTAACAAGCAGTACATAGCATTGACTTGGCAACAGTAATACTATATTTGTAACGTTATATTTCGTTATAAAGGTATGTATCTGAAAATAATATATTATGTCAGAAGCTATGTTGACAGTTTTTTTCCCTCTTTCCAATGTCAATTGTATGGAAAACAGTGATTTTCAATTTTGTAATACCTTCCTTATTGTTGGATTTTATGCTCATTGCCTCATTCCTAGAGACAAGGACCACATAGTAATTGTTAAAAGGCAGAAGAGGTGCAGAAATCTGTCTATTCTCTGCTCATGCATCTAGTACCATACATCTTCTCATGACTGCATTGAATCCAAATTTAAAACTACCAAATGTAGACCAATTGTCCTTTAATGGGTATAGTAACTTCTAAATAAATTTTTAAAAAGAATGAAATACAAAAATAAATTGTCGCTTATGGCTTGTTCAGATATTCTGTGGTAAAACGCAGCGTTTTTTATTAACTTTTTAAAATATATGAATGGCAAGAGGGTATGAAAAAATTAGCAGCATACAACAATGGTCCAAAAATGTGAAATTCAGTACGGTACACTTTTTTAAAAACCTGTGGTACAACCACTGTGCTTTACCGCAGGAAAATGAGAACAGGCCTTTAGTAGAAAATGCCTACTTTGTATCTCACCTGTGATTGTCTTGCATTCAAGACCTGGGATTGTTGGTTGAAGAGAGATGCTCTGCCCCTTCCTGACGTGGCACGGACTGAACCCTGATCTGAACTGGCCTTCTCTGATACATTCTTGTTCCGACAGTTGAATCCAGAATACCCTGAAAATGAATTTAAGACAAACATGTAAATAATAATATGATAATAATAGTGAACATCTGTAATGCGCCATGATGAATAGAGTACTGAAGTGCTTACATCATATTCGTTTGTCATCCAGGTTAAATGCTGGAGCAGGGCAAATACCATGTTTGGAGCTGGTGTGACCACCCCATCATTGTTTAGCACAGAATTGTTTGGAACCAGTAACATTGACATCTTGGCTACTGGCTAGTATGATGTTACACTTCCGTACTCTATTTGTTGAAATTTCATATTTATTCTTTGTATTTGCTGTGAAATACAATATCATGGGATCTTTGAATTGGACCTTCTTTCTCCACTCCACTGCATGTAGAGATATGTATCAAGCACTATAGTATCATGTAGCTCTTCTACTGTACTTGCTTGTGTTGGGTAACATCTACAGACATACTTTACAGTACAACAGACATCACACACTTACCTTGACCATAGGATGAGTATCCATCGAATCCGTTGTGTGGATCAACTCGAGAGGCACCATCATCTTTATCCTCCTCAACATCTTCACTGAAGTTCTCCCCTGCTGCCAGAGCCTTCCCTATAGCCTTCAATGTCCTCTTAGCTTTCACCTTCAGCTCTTCTTCTTCTTCTTTCTTCTTGCCTGATAAGGCATCAGCATAAGATGCCTGTCCTGAGACCGTGCCCTGATCGTGGCTAGGATGCCTCTGGGGTGCATCTGGATGTTGCATGTTGGTTAACCTTTTTGATACGGCGGAACCTTGCTGAAGATCTGATAGTTTGGGTGGCGCTACAGAACCTGGTCCCTGTGAGTACGAATGATCAGTCATATCAGCAGATCTAAAACGGCCCTGGGTCAATCTTAAACTGTGCTCTGTGGAGAATTTGTGTGTTGGCTTATCAGTCTCATTCATCCAATTTGGACCAGAAACACTTGTGCTGTCTGGAACTGTTCTGGAAGGCACTGTATGTTTAGCTGTACAGCTCTTTGGTTGCTGATGTATAAGTCTCTGATGATCAAGGATGGAACCTGTTGCACCTTGATACCCTGGAAGCATATCATCACTCTCTTCTTTGGCAGTCAAAGCTTCTTTCAGAGTCACAGACTTGATGTTCTTAGAATACCTCTGTTGCCAAAGCTCCTTCTCAGTACTGTCTGCAAAAGCTTCATCAGAGTCATCAGAGCTCACACTCGACACTTCTTCATTGCTCTCTTCTTCTTCCTCTGTCTGTGTCACACCCATCATCAGCGGTGGTCTAGGGGGCTCATGATTAGAAGGTTTGGCTGATGAGATCAAAGAAAATGAAATTAGAAATAGCATTAAATTAACAAATTTCTTTGAAACATAGTGAAAGCTTAATATGAAATGAGTAATAAATAGCCAATAAGCCATTGTCAGAGTCTCAACACATTCTTTTATCATGAGATAACTGAAATGTAGCTTTACATAAAGTTTATGCTTCAGATTATTTATACCACATCAAAAGTTACACTTGATTTCAGAAGCTTGTTTCAACAGTTCAAACCACCTATAAAGCAGAATACTATTTTAATCATTTTGGAAATTATGTAAAGGGTCAACTTGCTGTCATCTCCTTAGGTTCATTTTCAAGATGATAATAACATGGGTAGCTACATCTCCACTGCCTGAAGTCAACGTCTCAGTAAATTGAACATGATGCTGAAGAAGATGCTGTGTAACTTCCTTACCTGACCTTCCTGGAGATGTCTTCTGAAATCCCCTAGAAGCATCCAGGGATATGCCCCTACCTGATGGGCCCTTGGGAGGGGGCTGACCTTGCTCTTGACCGGGGTTGGCTAATGAAGGTGGAGGGAAAGACAGCTCTTTGGGTTTGACCCTGGTGCTAGACATTCCCATCTGAGTGACCCTGCGATGAAGATCATTGATCAACTCTCTAGGAACATAGGAAGCTCTGGAAGATAACTGCAATAAATCAGAAACAAATGATGACAGCAATGAACCACACTTTGTACAGTCGTATATTGCCTCATGCATCAACTGGCTTTTTTTCACTCTAAAGTGTTGGGAGCCCCAAAAGTTTGATGGCAAAATTTCACTTAAATTGTATCATAATGTGAAAGAAGATGTCATTTAAGAAACATTTGTGCAAGGATTTTCAAAATAAATGTGTTTGAACTCGAATATTGTTGAAAGAATACAAAATTTAGGTTTTCTGCGTACAACAGAAAAAACGCAAATTATGTATTGTTCTATTAATATTTGTCTTCAAACACATTTTTTTTTTTGGGGGGGGGGGGGGTGTCTAATAAATGACATCCTCTTTCACATTATGATACAATATAACTGAAATTGTGCCATCATAACTGTTGACGAATTTGGGGCTCATAGCACTTTAGAAGGGCTTTAAGTATTTTATTTTTCCAGATTTAAAGCATATGGAAGACAAAAGAGACTATCTTGTCAAGATTTTTATGATAATTAATCACTTATCATGATGTTTTATATATGTTTCCAAAATTATTGCTGCGGTCCTGCCCAAGATATATCGAGGTTAAAACACCCACAAATAAAAGACTCCTAGAACAATTACCTCCCCCCTTATTTCATGCTACTCTGAATTACATGTAGGGGTTATTAGTTGGTTGGCATTTGTTGGGGGAGGAGTGACAGGTTAGTTGTATAGGGGCTGGTAGTCCTGGAGAGAGGTTTTGAAGAATCCTTCAGGATATCAAGACCTTCATGACCATTTTCCTTCAAACTTCTTTTGTTAGTTATTAGGATTTTCTGCTTTTAGATAATTGACTTGTTATGGGACAGAGGTGCCCTAGAAGATTTCATATCAATATAGCAAGCAAATGTAACTACATTTCAAGTTCAAAAGAATAGTGCAAGAAAACATTTATAAATATTGCCATTTACCTTCTTTGGGTCTACTTCCAGCCTATCACGTTCGATCGTCAGATAGATGTCAATACCACAGGTGACTTCTGCCATGAGTTGTTCAGTGATAGCCTCCCTTAGACGCAGCAGGTATACAGTATCCAAGAGAGCGCAACGGATGTTCACTTTAGAGAGAGGGCGCTGGAACCAAGATGATTCGTCTTCCTGAAAAAAACAAAAAGAAAGTTTGTAATCTACTGAGCCGAGTTCCAGCACCATTACACAGATCATACAATTGATATTAAACGTGTAATGAATACTGTTAGTAGGCTATCATTCAAATTCATATATTACATCTTTCAATTTAAATTCAATTCATTTTATTTTCACATTTTGATAAAAATCACACTAACAAACATTTACAATACAAAGTCAATTCCAACAAATAACACAACAGAACAGAAGTTTCAAAAAGCAGGCGACAAACAAAGGCCAAAGGCCTATCAAAGGCTTGTCCCCAAAGTATATAAATAATTAAATATAAATGAAGTGGTACAACAGGAAGACAGAAAGAAAAAAAAGGGGGGGGGAAAAAAAAACTTTTAAAACTTAACTGTGAACTGCAAGAGAGTAAAATATTCTCTCAATACCAGTATGTCTGTTCATCTACTTTTATATTTAGGCTTATCATTTTGCTTTTTAAATGCTTATCAAATTATGTAATCAATAATATGTAGACAAGAGGAAAATAAAATTTCAGTAAGAAGGCTAATTAGATCATAACCTAACAACGACCAAAACATATAGAGCTTAATTGCTACTCACTTCAATACGTTGTGTGTTCTCTAGGTGCAAAGCAATGTCATGGATACTGATTTCAAGGTACTCTAGGATGCACTGTGTTGTTCCACTAACATTCCGGGGGAAATCCCCCATATACTGTCTTCTCTTGATTAGTATGTCTCCTACCTGTGAATAGAAAGACAAAAAATAATAATCAAGCAATCTATAAATGTCTGCATGGCTAGTCAGGCATGTTAATTTCCTTTGAAATTATTATTATTATTATTTATTTGACCAATCGGAAAAACATACAGTGAGTATGACAATCAGATAATACATAGACATTTCATAATACATTCAAACAGCTTTAGGAAAGTGGAGAGGAGATAGAGAGAAGGATACAGTCTGCTGGTCAGGGGTGACAAAAGCAATTTAAATTGCTATTACTCGAAAGCATGTCACCCCCCGAAATGTAGTGTTTGCTAGAACCTAAAACCAATAACTTAGCAGGGACATCTTGTTTGCAGTTCATACACATTTTCATTATCATTAACTCTATGTGGCACATGATCTTTCACATTTAACAATATAATTTACACTAATCAATTACTTGCATTTGCATTTGCCCAAATCCAATTCATAGTTCAAGGCACTCAATAACCATTGCACTTACAGCTTCACAGCATTTACATGGCATTAAATGTATATCTTATTCAATCTTACATGTCTATGAATTTGCTTTCATAAATAAAAGCCTGGTATAGGTGAATTCCTACCTGTGTATCAAACACACTGTTCAGTTCTATGCCATAGTGGTGATAGAGAAGATCTGACACAAATCTACAGTCATGGATCACCTGAAAAGGAATCACAAAATAAAACACATTTCTTGAAACAATAGCAGAAAATGTGGTACACAATGTTTTGCATTCTTTTTGCAAGGAGCTTGCGCTAAATTGGCCCAATGTAAGAGTTTTCATTAATAATGCTCAAGTTTCATATTAACCTCAAAACTAGAGTTGGAAACTTTACAATAAAGAGAGGGTTACTGGAAAATAGTGGAAATATCAATGTCTTGTAGATTTACTATAACTTCTGAAGAATAACAACTTACTAGTATACCGCTAAGTTCTTTGACAGAAATGCTCTTTCAATATGAAATGTTCAAATGAGCTAAATCACTAGCAGAATGTTTGCCCATGTTGATGGCTCTCCTTACCTTGGTAATATTAGTAGCTTGTAGAATGTCTATGAACTTCCTAGTGAAGAGGGATGGAACCGCCAGCACATCAAACATATACACTGCTCATCACAAAGAACCTAGTGATGCAGGAGGTAAAACAGATTGAGATGAGAGCACAAGAGAGAGAGAGAGAGAGAGAGAGAGAGAGAGAGAGAGAGACAGAGAGAGACAGAGAGAGACAGAGAGACAGAGAGAGACAGAGAGACAGAGAGAGAATGGGAGGGGGGAGGGGCAAGAAACATAGCAGGATCACAAGAACATTTTTCAGAAAAAGGTCACACAAATTTAGAAGCAATGGACAGATGAAAATAAGAGAAAATAGAGTTTGATAAAAGTACATGTAGCGATTGCATCAGACAAAATATTGGGAAAAATGATTATTTAGAAAAGCAGATACTAAGGGAGTATAGAAGATGTTTAATTTGTCTATGATGTTCAAGATAAGGCATTGTTCAGCAAAACAAAACATTTAACCAGTTGACAACCAAATGAGCTCATACCCATAGGCTTTGTACAGTAACCACCTGGGTTCCATAGGCAATGTGTTAATACACCCATTGTACAAACAAGTATAACTTTCCTCTTTGCATTTTTCTTGAAGCAAGGTGTAATCTTACCAGGACAAGAGAGAGTTTGCCCTTCCTTCCAAGTCTTGATCCCTTCAGTACTAGCCCTATGGCACTCTGCTGCTCCATGTCTGTGATCTAGTGGGTGGTGATTGGAATAGGAAATTAGTAGAGATATTAGAGGGATATTCTTCCTAAAGTGATGATCAACCTGCATTAGTGACCACCTGTCTACAAAGGCCACAATCTTTGTTACCCTTGAAAATGGTTTCCCATTGAATCATGTACTAAAGGAACCTGTCTACAAAGGCCACTTTTTGTGTTTCCCTTGGGCGGCCGCTATCCCGGCCCCCCACTCAGAGGTCGGAATGACCGCATGCGTGTTGCCAAAATGTCCGGTAAAGGGATATTTTTCGTGCCCGAGAAGTCCAGCCCGAGAATTGTAAAAAAATTGTAAAAAAAGGGGTGTATTTGACTTTTCACCCTGAGATTTCTTTAAAAAGGGGGTGTTTTTCTTTTTTTCTCTCATCTCTTTGCACTCCTGAGAAATTATTCCGAATTTAGGGGGGTACATTGAGCATTTTTCCTGATTTAGGGGGTCTCCAAGGCAGGAAAAGCCCGCGAAAAGCCCGCAAAAGGGGGGTTTGGAAATGTTGGCAGTCCTCAGATAGGGGGTGCTTTCAAAAAGAGGGTACGAGCATATGCGTACCCTAAATAACACTGAGTGGGGGGCCGGGGTCGCTATAGACAGGTTTGACTGTACTAAACTTCTGGTATTAATATCTGGTATGAATTGAAAATGTTAATTAGTACTGAGTTCTCTAGGAAGTAGATGTAAGGCATTAAAACAACAGGAGAGTCAATCATAACCACATCAAATGCTTCCTTTCTAGGCAAAACTGTTGACTATCAGCCATGGTGGGCCTGAAATATAAAAAGTGTTTAAAGTGTTTAAGAAATTGTTTCATTCTGATGTATACATTACAAAAATTAATTACTGAAGCACAAACATTTTGTAGAAAAAGCATGAAAAACAGTCATTCACAAAGAAAGTGCTACTTACAGCTTGATCAAAGACAGCATCATGTTGACTGATTAGAATATAATTCCTCTGGTTGCTTTCTGTTGTGGTATCTATTGATAGAAATTTAAAAAACAAGATATATGATTATGATTATGAAGAACCAATTTTTTTTTTTTTTTAACTTTTCTTTTAGTTCGTATAACAAATAACATTTCTCTAACCATGAAATTTCTTAATGAAATTCTATTCAAATTAAACCCATTTTCTACTCAACAATAACAAATGTTTTGACCCGAGCTGAATTAAATGTGAATGATTTACCATCACGTCTGGATGGTGGCGGGGATTGCTGAGGCTGACATAAGGGACTTCTGTCGTTAATACTCAGATCTGATATCCCTTCACACACAGCTTGGTCGGGCAGGTCTGTAGAATGTACCTCTGGTCTGGGGGGGGGGGGGGGAGGCAGAAAGATATATAGAGAGAGACAAAGATAGAGACAGAACGATAATGAAACAAAATCTTTCTTACTATACACAAAGGGACATTTTTTTAATAAGTCTTGTTTAAACATTTGAGGAATGATGTTCTTGTGAAAAGTAGGATTCAAATGTTTGAAACAGTCTACTCAATATTCCCTGAGTCCACTAATATGATGAGTTACCAGACTATTGTGATGGTATGTAAAACAAGTACAGGAACATCCTTCTTGATAAATGCCTTATCTTTGACATTTAAAGCTTAAAGTAGGACTTTCAACTTGGTATATGACAGACTGACTAGCTATCAACCACTTATTTCTTTGAATAGTGAGAATTGATTGTTTGACCTAATAATTTCCCCCTCTCGCATCCCGCAGGTATGAACTGTTACTAAGTATTTTGTGTCTCGGAGGGAAAATGAAATAAATCACTGAGACCCTCAGGTCTCTCCTCCTGGTATAACTAATTGGGGGTGTGCAGGTGGACCACTGCACCAAAATTTTTCCCTACTCTTATAGGAAGTAGTGCGGTGGGTTCTTAACGTGCAAAGGTGGTGAATCTCCTCTACACGGGGCCTCCATTTATCATGTTTTCTGAAGGAAGGATTGTTTTCCACTATAATATAGCCTGCATCTATGAAACAGGGGAGGGGCACGTCAACACACAACGCAGACTTCATTCATCCACCTGGGTTGGATTCGAACCCACAATCATTGGTTCGACAGGCAGATGCTTTTATTGACCGAGCCAACTCGCCTCCTAGGCGGTTAGGCCATCATACATACCTATTGTCCTCTGGCTCTTGAGGAATAATAACTTCTTCACTGTAAGGAGGACCAGGATCATGACCCCAATCTTCTGTGTAGGAGTTCACCTACATGGAAAAAGATCAAAGGGAAGGCATGGCAATAAAATCTCAATCTTCAAGTACGATTTAGGAAGATAAGTTATCTTTTTAGAAACAAATTATATGTAATGAGAAAAGGTGGTACTGTTCAATTATAATATGAATAGCAGTTCATGGATCTATTTACTCATCGACTACTGAAATATTCTTATTTTCAGAGGCTTAATACAAGATTGCATAGTTTCCTTCAGGGATGGGTTAATTGTACGCAAGATGTAGGACTAATAGGTATACAAAGAATCAACCTCCACTGAAATACCATAAAAGAAAGATAGCATTTGGGAATCAAATGTACATGACTATGTCTATGATGTCCCTATCCCTTAAATCACCTGTTGATAGCCTTGCTGGTAATCATCAAATATCTCAGGGTTTTCTGGATCTTCATAGCTCCTAGCTTTTGGTACTTGAGTTTCCTTCTGTTCATGACCGTTGTTTGATGCTTGTGGCAATTCATTCTCCTCTACAACCCTTACTGCAAAAAAAATGAAATAAAACAGATAATTTTAAGTATCTCAAGTTTTACAGAAACATCAGATTTTACATATTGCCTGCCTAGACAGCTGGGCCACTTTTGTTGTTTATGGACTTAATAAAACCAGGCTCTGAATTTTGGATTGGTTTCATACTTATGTTTAATTATATAGAATGTGAATTATAATTTCATAAGATGCTGTAGACACTAAGCTTTAAACACTTGAATACATTGACTACCAAAGCTTCTGGAAGAAAGCCATCTCCAGCTTCAAAGTTCCAGATCTAACTTCAAGGTGTGTGTATGGGGGGGGGGGGGGAGGGGTGTCCCAGCTTCTAGGTCTTGCACCATGGTCATTTTTTACATCTGTCTCTTGCTTGCTGGGTCATATCAGGATTGTATATGCGAACACTTTTGCAATTTAGTTAGCATTTCCAAAAGTTTAATTAATGTCATAGGTATTTTTCCGACAGATTATCCTTCCATTTATTTGTCTATTTAAAACTTTTGCAGTTGTTTAAACACTAGTTGTCAGGTTATTTTTATTTTATTTTTTTTTGAGGGGGGGGGAGGGGGGTAGGGATCTTGGAAGTCCATTAAAATTTCCCTAAAGCATAATCAATTTGAAAACAAACAAAATTTGAAACTTACATTCAATAATTTCCTGTCCATAGAAGTTGAGAAGACCCAGGAACTTCTGGCCAGATGGCAATGCAGTGGCTGGAAATAAGGAATAAACAGTGCCAGTCCATGCTCATATATTGATAAAGTTTTTCACTCTTCTTGATGGATGCATTCAAAGTAGATCTAAAGTCTATTCTATCTTGTCTGATCAACTGTCTATCTTGTCAGATCAACTGTCACACATTGACATCAACGCCAATTAAGAATTCATGCAAGACACATCTGCGGATAAGAGCCCCAGAGGAGGAGGAGGAGGAAGGAGAAGAAAAAGAAAAAGAAGACGATGAATAACTCAGAAGACGACGAAGAAGGTGAAGAATGAAAAGCCAAGGGAATTATTCTCAACAAGCATAATACTAATTATCCTTGCTTATATAGCGCCTAACTAGGCACATTCATGGGGCACTAGAGGGCGCTTTGCGCCCGTACGAAAATCTGAATGGCCTTGCTGCGGTGGGTCGGCAATAATCAGCCTTAAACTTGGATATGGGAGGGTGGAAGGATATATCTTTTTTATAATGTTATCTGGTCTTACCCTAACCATCCTATGTTTAATCTATGTAGAAATAACTTGCGAGTACGATAAGAGAAACATCGGGCCCATTACTGATGCAACTTTTAAAATATTAGCCTAGAAATGACCACCAAACGGAAAAAATTGACATTTTTCCCGACAAATCTTCATAAAATCTGATTTATAAACAAGTCACATCTAGGTACACTAATACAAATACGATTTTCTGAAAATTCAGGTATTATTTTTTAAGTTTCTTTCAAGTATATTTCTGCGCATTGCAGCGCCAATGTTCTTCAATGCTTCAAAATCACCCTTGAAATTTTTTTTTGCAACGAATTTGTTACGAGGTCCGCGAGTGTTCCCCGTTCCTTGCGTGTTGAAAGTTTGGTAATACATAGTTTACATTGACTCGCGCACGAAAAAATGGTCGAAAACAAAATGTCAAATGAAGAAATAAACAAGCTTTTGTATAGTTATAAGAGTTCTACCGAGGTTTCTTTGTCGATTTAATTTATTATATAGTCTCAATTAGAATTCAGAATTATCTCACTGAAAAGTTAAGAAACCGACGATGTTCTCGATCGTAGTTATTTTCATTTTGCCAGCAGCCGATCTAGCGTTGTTTGGGCAAAAAGCTAGGCCGCTGCCTTCCCATCGCAAACCTTTCCGAGTCCCGCTAAAATGGCGCGCTGCGGAGCTCCGAAGCTGCGTTGGTATCGCTGCAAACTCTCAGCCGGCTAGCTCCCCAAGACGGACCATTCGCGGTATGGCGAGATTGTGTGTGTGAGGTACGATTTTGGATTTGAGAACGCACGTAATGCAACCGTGCGCGTCATATTCAGCTGTCGAATGTCTACGACCAATTTTACATGTACGATTTTTAGTACAGATACTTGGTCAGTTTTTTTCTTATATCTTTGGTTTTACAACATTTAAAAATATAATTTCTTCATATTTGCTCCTGACTCGGTTAAGACTAATTGTGTGATGTGTTTTCAAGTCGATTTTTTGAATATATTTTTTTGCATGAATTTGCCTAGCCTAACACTTACTTTATCAGAAGTCTCCAAGTCTACAATAATGCAGCATAATTACCCTGGCTTTAGCAGTGCAGCTGTAATGCACGCAGCGTTTCAAGGATTAAATTCCTACCAGGTACCCTTTTACTTCACCTGGGTGGAGTGTGGCAAATGTAGATCGATGTCTTGCCAAAGGACATTAGTGCGGCGGCGGGACTTGAACCGCGGACCTTGTGATCGACAGTCCGGCGACGTATCCACTCGACCACAACACCTCTACACTAGACACAACCAAAATTAGCTAAAGATCTCCCAATATATAAGACACTTAAATACTAACAGAGAAGTGTATTTCATATCATTTCATAACGACAACATGTATCCGGTCAAAACACCCATCACGGTCACGCTTTTACTTGACATCATATAAACAAACATAAATCTTAGCATGTGGGACTGAGGCTCTACAAAAATGATCTAGACCTACTTCAAGTCAAGATTTGTTATAGGCCTACTTACCCTGTTTAATTGAAATCATTTTTGTGACTGGGTCAATGGAATGAAGTATGCCTTCATATTTTCCTTCTCTTGTTTCAATTTGAATTCGAGCACCAACGTAACTTGACATTTTTAGTTGCCTTTCACTTTCAGTTTCGAACAAATGAGGTTTTGAGGGTAGGGTTTTGAAGAAAAAAAAAATGTTATGGTGAACTTGAGAAACAAATTTAATTGAAATTTATCTCGACTAAAACCCCATACCATATCATACCATACCATTGTTCAGTCTACACCCCCTCAGTAATACAGATAAGACCCATGATATACCAGACTTCCCCTTCCAGAACATTTGTTTAATAACTTAATCCCAGCCAAATAAACCCCAAATTGTATACATCTGATAAGAACCCCAAAACCTCCAAAACAAGACTTCCTGGCGTGGGGTCGAGGGGCATAGCCCATGAAGTTCAGGGGTTTTAGGCATTTAGTAATGGTCAGATGAGCAACCAGAGGTCAGCCTTAGGGCCCTTGGTGGGGTTCAGGGGGCAGAGCCCCCGGAATTTCAGGGAAACCATGCCAATTTAGCAACAATTGTCGATCACTGGTATCGAGTTAGAAATAAATCAAGTTTGAATTTTATTAGGGGGAACTATTCCCAAGCCCCCCCCCCCCCCCCCCCCCCCCCCCCCCCCCCCCCCCCCCCCCCCCCCCCCCCCCCCCCCCCCATCATTACGCCAGGGCGAGGAAGCATAGTGAACGAGAGGGGTGAAGGTGACGAAAGTGACTACCCCCTCACAGGTTTTGAAGTTTTGTACAATATAGTATAAAAAGAAGCAATATACCTTTTTCACACTTCACTTTTCTACAATATTTACTGTACACTTTGAAAAATATTATGCTCGGGAGCTTAGCTCCCGAGCGAAAAGATTTTTGCATTTTTATTTGTCTAAACGCTGCACTCTTGGGCCCTCCAGAGCCGAAAAAGAGCCGTTTGTTGCAGTCTTTAGTCAGTAATTGCTTTACACTTATTTTGTTCTCTCACTTTTTTAATTTTTCAGGGGGAGGGGGTAAGAGGACACTTTTTTTTTTTTTTTTTGGTCTCGAAATTTGAAAATTTGTCATTTGGCTCCGTTTGGGGGGGGGGGGGGGGTAAGGTCAACTCAGCCATTGATATAATTGTTTTTGTTTTTTTAATATTAAAAAAGAAAACGAAAGGGGGGTGTTTTCCTCCAAAATACACACATAAAAAATACCAAGAGGGGGGTTTAACCCCCCCCCCCCCCCTGCGTCTGGACACCCATACTTACTATTGGACAGTAATAATGTTGTTATCACTTTCTGATCAATCCTAGGCGCAAGTTTTGGCTTTGGTCATTCCGTCTTACATCCTGTGGAGCTCGGACATCGATCCCCAAGTTTTCTTGGGCTTTGAGTTCGTTTGATCCCCTGATGAGTTTCTGTCTTTTGGGTCTTTTACCACCTTCTCCTCCGCGTATGACTACTGAAAGGACTTTAATTATTTGTTAAATGATTTGGACTAAAGCCCTTTTTCCTCTAAACAGATGATACAAAATTATATTTGATACATTTTCCCCTTGTTACAAATGCGTTTTACAAAATTAATGATATCCACCCGGTCAAATTAAAGATTTGAATCATCTCTGCTCTCTGTCTTCGGTAAATGGATGTCTCTAACCCGAGGGCTTTCAATCTCTTTTTTAAAAATTAAATTCAACATGACAACAAAGATATTACTTGAAGGAAACTTTGATTTTAGAATAGATTATGAATTGGGGTCCGTTATACTTCCAAATAAAATTACACGATCATCTGATCATTCAGTATGGCTTCATTGGCTTGCCCTATCTAACTTGCAAGACGTTATATGCAATTTTCATTCTTACTATTGAAATACAATTATTCGTGACAGGTTAATGGATTCATTCGTATAGAGGCACTTCAAAAATAGACGTAATAGGCATGTGCACTGTTATCAACTTTCAAAGCAATAATTAAGGTATGTTAAACTTTGTTAACTGAATCAGTTGAGTTGACTGTCGAAAATATAGGCCGGCTATTATTGGCTATTATTGGCATTAATTTCATTATTTGTACTTAAGTGACCAGTACTTACGAGTTTATGGGTTCATGATTCAATGCCCCCTAGAAATATGTGAATTATTAAAAAGAAGAAACATAGGGACGACATCGATCATTATGGATTGTATAGATTTCCAAGCTAATTAGGTTCTTTAGTTCTGATAAATGATGTGGCATATATAGTTATAGCGTTATAGTTGCTGCTGGAATTCGCTGGAGAAGGGGGTGGTGCCCGGTGCCCTCTGAAACTGGTGGAGGAAGGGGTACAGAGGAAGGGGAAGGCCGATAGGGGAGGGGGGGGGGTACTCACATATTAGGACATACAGGGTGTGCCGCTCTAATGGGTCACTTTTTCACACATAAAACCCAAACGTGGGTCTCACTTTTAAAAAAAATACCATTAAAAATGGATCCGTTTTTTCAAAATTTGCAAAACACCCGAAAATTGTGGAAAATGGGTCTTTTTCGAGAAAAAAATGCCCCATAATGATTCCAAATAATGGGTAGGGGTTTCGAGGCTTGAGCGGCACACCCCCGTCCAAACCAAATCTGATATCCCCCGCGATTTCCCCCTCCTTTTCTTTTGCTTGCTTATAATAATTGCCAGAGATTTTAAGTTATTAAACCAATGTAGGCTCATGCGCCCAAACAACCTTTTTTTTTGTGAGTGTGGCTTGTTTGCTTGTATACTTGTGAAGTTGTGACACAATTTAACCCGCCCAGAGAATTCTGGTATCAAGAATCCATCCAAAAACAAAAATACTAGTAGATCTAATATTCCTCGCATATATGAAACAAAATAAAATTTGTGGAGGAATACTAGTTTGTAACTTTGATATATATCTCCCCATTTGGTGCGATATGAATGCAAAACTGCAAAAAAATGGTTATGTTTATTTGGTACTTTGTACAGGAGACAAACTCTAGGTCACGGGCCACACGCATCGAATTTCGAAGTTCATTGGCCACACCCAAGAGCTTTGTTGTTGCTGATGTTTTTGTCTACTATTTTTCTTTTGTTTTGTTTTATGAAATTCTGATATCGATATCTTCCGATCGCTGCATTACCGCATATTTGAATGTGACTATGGCATACGAACAAGAACAATTGGAAAACGGCTGAAATATGGAGACAAAAGGTGAGTTTGTGTATATCATATTAAGAATTCGTACGTAATATTTCTTAATATATGATCCCACGGTCATTTTTTAAGGTTGATATCACAGATCGCAAGTGTATCCGTCGTGAAATCCTGAAAGCGTTACTCGTATCCAAGGGTTTCAATCTGCTAATAACGGTCCCATATACTGGATATTGTGTTGGCACGCCCTTGTGATTGACGGCAAAGGAAAAGAATGTTGTTTTCACTCGCACTCCTACAATCAACCACTCCAGCAAAGCATACACTATGAACATGACAGACAATGAAAGCGGACAAAATATACAGTTCCTCAGGTAGACAAAGGGACATCCCTTCACTGCTATTATGTAAAAATGTGTAGAACAGGTGTCACATGCATATTCACCCGTTCTACACATTTTTACATAATAGCAGTGAAGGGATGTTCCTTTGTTTTCCTGAGGAACTGTATATTTTGTCCGCTTTCATTGTCTGTCATGTTCATAGTGATAGAGAGTCAATGCTAATGCGTGTATTGACCTGTAGCACTGCACTACGTGTTGATAGGCAGCATTTTCACCATGAGTAGTCAATATACTTCTACTAGGTCTAGGGTGTCTGATCGTGCACCCGATGTTGTGTGCTAAAATTCTTCTAGAGATTGCACGCATCCCTATGCAGTCTAGAGTAAAGGAGCCCGTAATCGGCCAGCTCCAGTTTTCGGCCGATTGGTTGGATACAAGGTAAAATCACTCTAAAATACATCGCATAATAGCATAACACATATCCCACACATACCATACCATGCCAGTGTCACTGAAGAACCACATTTGCAATGGAAAATATATCCTAAAATATCACATTTTAGCGATGTAATCGCCGGTGCCGCTACCCAAATCTGAAAAATCAAGTATCTTACGCGTGTCTGTAAGAAATATGGGTACCATAAAATGAGCTTTATTTCAAGTATTTTTCAGATTTAAAGCCTGATTTTGTGCTAGTCGCAAGCTCAAAAGTATGTCATCGCATGTATTAAATCAATGCAGCCGCACCCGCGACGCACACACGATATCTCTGTCTAATTCAGATTCCAACTTCCGATCACCGCTGTGCCTGTCTTCGGCCAGGCGAGCACCAGGGAGCTCCGGCGTGGGATACCTGCTCCGCCCGCTTGTGCTGTACATCAGCGCGGAAACGCACGGTGCGCGCGAGCGCTTCCTATTGACTTTGTACATGCGGCCATAAACTGAAACGCTTGGCCGATAACGGGCTCCAAAACAGTGAAAATTGAAATGAATATTGTCATGGCAATTCGTGATTTTTTTCTGGGATTCTTTTTTGTTTAAATAATAATAATATTTGCTTCATGATTTGAACAAGAAATGATAATAAATAGGAAGTAAAGAGTCCTAAAAATAGGATTTTGTCTTAAGTGGCCGAAAACGGGCTCCTTTACTCTAGACCTAGTCTACATAAGGTCTACGTGCATTGCACGATCATGCAAAATTTGTCATTTTTTTTTCTTTTTCAAATCGAGATTCAAAAAATTGATTAAAAATTGTGTCTTGGCTAACTCCGAGGTTTGCCACTTTTGAGATATGACTCCCCGATCGATAAGTAGTCCCAGTCCTAAGGAATATATCTATGCGCTTATTTTTTCGCTAGCCCCCAGGGATCACAAGGGATTAGAGTAAAGGAGGGGGTAATCGACCAGCTCCAGTTTTCGCTCGATCCGTTGGATGCATGATAAAATCCCTTTAAAATACATCGCATAATAGCATAACACATATCCCACACATACCATACCAATGCAGAGTCACTAAAGAACCACATTTGCAATGGAAAATATATCCTTAAATATTACATTTTAGCGATGTAATCGGCGATCACGCTACCCGAATCTGAAAAATTGAATATCTTATTCGTGCATGTAAGGAATATGGCTACCATAAAATGAGCTGTATTTCAAGTATTTTTCAGATTTAGAGTCAGAGTTTTGGAGTATCGCAAGCTCAAAACTTTCTAATCGCATGTTTCCTACCACTGCAGTCGGATACTACAGCGCCGTATCTCTGTATAGTTTAGATTCCAATTTCTGATCACTGTACCCGCAGGTGTAGTTTTCGGCCGTGTGGGGGATTATTATAAATCTAGATCTACTAGTATTTTTATTTTTGAGGAAAAAATATTAATTATTTCATAAATGTATGTCACTTTACAGGCAAAGTCAAGAAAAAGGGACGCAAACTGCCATCCAGTGGCAGTGGCCAAGATGAGGACAGAGCTTTGTGTAAGTAGATATCAGACCTGTATGTAAAGTTCAAACCAGGTACCATCAACATCATCATCATCATCATCATCATCATCATCATCATCATTTGTCAAATATTATTATTACCGCCATTACTATTATATTATTATATAAGTAAAAGAACCAAAAATTAGTTTCTTGTCCACATATTTTTCAAAAATTAGGAAGGTGTTCAGTATCATTTGATATTGAAAAGTTGACTTTGGTAATTTCAGTTTGCCCAGAAATATAGGGAGACCTGTTTTTACATTGCTTGTAAAGAAGTCATCGTTTTGCTCCTATGTTGTTCTTTTTCTTCTTCCTTCCTCTTACTTCTTCTTCATCCTCATCTCCTTCAACTTCTTCTTCTCCTCCTTTTTCAACTTCTTCTTCTCCTCCTTTTTATTATTTCATCATCAAGTTAATACTGCACCTCACTGGACAATTTAAAAGTGGTATTCAAGATACTTAATCTAGTAGGAATTTGTCTTTCAGGTATGGATTATAGACTGCACGAATGAGATGAAAATTGAAAATAAAAACAGCTGATTGGTCCACAATTAGGAAAGTTACACATTGCCATTTGTAAAGTAAGAAATATTGCTTGTCACATGATTGTTAAATTTGCTAAAATCAGGTTGTTAGATCAAATTTTCCTGTAGCCGATGTTGTATAATTTGTTGGCCACCAGATGCTTCCATTTACAGTAAGGTAGTATTAGAGAAAAAAGTTGACACTCCAATTAAAGCCTCTGTCACAAATGCCATTACGAACTGCTACGAATGCCGTACGAACGATTTTCAGACAATGAAATTACAATAGTAATATGCTTTTCTTCATGATAATTTTTAGTGCTGTAGTCAAACGTTTAACCGTCCGGTATCCGACCGCCCATGGCGGATTCCGTTTTCAATTGGACGGTTTCGTTTTCCCGTTTTTTTTTTTTTTTTTTTTTTTTTTTTTTTATAATTTTTTTTTTATTTTTTTATAATTTTTTATATTTTTTTAATTTATTTATTTATTTTTTTTTTTTATAAGTTTCGATTTATGCCCCTCCACCGGGCACTATGCCTGGCAATGTCTCCCAGCTCAGTAATCGGTGTGATGACTTACCACTTGGAAACTAGAACAACTCTCCAATTTGTCTGTCATCTTGGTTTGAAAGTAATCTTTGTAATAGATCTCAATATATATTCATCCAAGTTTAACACATGGTGTACCACAAGGTTCTATCCTAGGTCCTCTACTGTTTTTAATTTACTTTAATGATCTTACACATTATTCTATTACGATATTGTTACTATTATTTGTAAATAGTTCACAAGCACAAATCGGCGCCTTCAGTTAAATCACCTTCCTGCTTTATCACACGGCCAAAAAAAAAAAAAAAAAAAAAAAAACGATTTTTTTTTTTTTTTTTTTTTTTTTTTTTTTTTTTTTTTTTTTTTTTTTTTTTTTTTTAATAAATCGTTTAACCGAAAACCGTCCGGTTTTGACAGGCGGTTAAACGGAATTGGAGATATCCGTGATGTTGTTACAGCACTAATAATTTTAATTTTGTTTCTGTTTGTTTTAGCCCCTCACTCAGAACATCATGAGATTCATAACCAGACAAGAGCTAAATTTGATGAGCTTCTCAAGTCAGCAATGGACCAGGATGCAAGGTATTTTTTATCCTTCTGAAAATTTAATACAGTTCTAATTCATGCTTAACTTTAGCAATTTATATCATGAAGGGTGAGAGGCTAATGTGGCAATTATTCCACATTTACATTCAACTTTTATAGTTCTATGATTTGTACAAAAAGCTAAAGATTTGGATGAACTGCAAAAGAATGCAAACTAATACCTTCTTGACAAAGTTAAAATTCCTGACAAATATCAACAGGAAAAGATTGAAAGTTTATCACTATGCAATTATATGTATTCTATATTTAGAGTATTTATTCAATGTATCTTACTACTTTAACGGTTAACCCTTACTTTACAACCAGAAGTTTACCAACATGTGTCACAAAACAAATTTGTGAGATCTATGTTCCCAATCATAGTGTCGTTTTTCATTGTTCGTCTCGATACAGACGTTACTTCATGATCTAACATCAGAGTTTATGCTTTTCCATTTCAAATTGTCTTTGTTCTAACATATCTGATATATCATCAGAATTTGGGTAAATCAAACCACGTTTAGCAATGAAAGAACTCAAGGGTTACTGATTTGTATGGTTATTTGTCATCTTTAGTATAGGAAAAAAATTATCCTCCATTTATTGTTCCACAGTGATTCTGGAAAAGCTCCAAAGAAGAAAAAGAAGGCTAGATCACAAACAGCAGGTGCTATGGTAAGTTTCAATTTTCAACAGTTCTAATAGTTGCTCAGAGCTGAGGGTGGTTATACATACAGTGTATTTAGAAAGAATACAATGTGTCAGCAGTACATGTACATATATAAGAATATTTCCAAGTAAAATTGGCTAAGATGGTGATCAAATTCTCTTTAGAAATCAGACATTAATTTTGCCTGCCAGTATGAGGAAATTGTGTTTTGCTCTCTTTTTGTTTTGTTGAGCTACCTTTCACTTGCTTGTATAAAATTGCAATCATCTATTATGACCTACGACCCTGATTACTGTCCTCATTCTCTACAGCTTGAATCCCTGAAGAAGGGAGGTGACCTTCAGAAGTCCTTCACAGAGGACACTACAGCTCTCAACAACACCTTCAATGCAGAGGATAGTCCACGCTACACCAAGAACACAACCAATGCCAGACGTAAGAAGCTTCCACCAAAGAAAGGCAACTTGAACAGAGGCTATGTGGACGATGAGGATGATGGGATGGAGATGGCAGAGATGGGCAAGGATGATGGACTGAAGAAGAAAAAGAAGAAGACAGTGAAGAAGAAATCAGAGGAGGATGAGGAAGAGACTGCTGTAGAGTAAGTTAATTCAAACAGTATCGATCAGAATCAATATCAGTATCACATAGTAAATCAGTTTACAAGAGAGGTTAAAATTAATACTACTGGAAATGCCATATACAACTATGTATCTTGTCTTTTATGATGAAAAAAATGAAAAAAGTATTTCGTTTTTGTAGAGCGCATGTTATATTTTGTTATGTGCACTTACAAACCCATACCATTGCTTTGAAACATTGTAATACCCTAGACACTGCCCTGAATATAAATCTCCACTTTTTAGTGATTTGAATAGTTCTATTAAATAAGATTAGAATTGATTCACTCATAACTAATATATTTTCCTATTCTAGGATAGATATCTTCAGTATGATCATTTGTGTATGACTTCTATGCAATTTAACAAGATATTATTGCTGTGACCAAGACAAACTGGATTTGTATGCCAATTTGTTTCTTTCTTTTTTGTAGTCCTACTATGACAGTATCTGAACTGGAACACACTCCAAAGAAACCCAAAAGAAGGAGAAAGAAAACTAGAGAAGAAGACGAGGAGCAGGAGGAGCAGGATGAGGTTGCCAAGGAAACAGATGAAGATCAATTAGATGGGGAAGAAGGCAATGGAACTCCTAGAGGCAAAGGGAAGAAGAAAAAGAAGAAAAAGAAATGTAAGTCCCTTCTTTATGATAATCAAGCTACTTGAAGTCAGACCTTATCAGTACGTTAACATATTCTTTGAGTGATAGCATTGCTAATGTTTCTCTATGAAGGAAAGGACAACTTCAGGAACTTAGTAATATTTACCGGTAATAGTGAAGGAATGGTAGTCCAATTCGTTTTGTATAGAAGGGAACATAGATCATTTTTCACATGGTTGTCACACATACTAAATGGGGGCATATTACTTTATTTGTTTTGTTTGAAATTACATTTCAGTAAAAAAAACTTTTATCTAGACATTTTACTTTGGCATACTATATGGAAGGATACTTTATATTGCTATTTACAGTAATATGGACATGCACACAAATTCCTGTTTGTGATTCCTTTCTGTGAATAACAGAATGTACTATTCTGTTACTAGTTTTGAAGTAATTTAGCTTTTCTTTCCCGTTTCCTTCAAATAGCCACCAATCTGCCTATGCCTACTGATGATGGTCAGGTGTTAGGAGTGACCGTTCATCGAAGTGACCGACTCAAACCAGACCTCTACATAGCACACCCATTGGTCAGGGTACATATAGTGGACTTAAAGACAGGCAACTATGTTAAGAAATCTAGCAGGTAACATTTTATTTCTCTTCATATTTTTAACATTGAATGTATTAAAATATTACTCATTGATGTGGATTCTTGCTGAGATGGTGAGGTATTCAGACAAAATGAAGCATGCTGTGCTAAGTAAAACACTTGTGAAGCACAATCATCTGGTCCTGTTTGTGTTCCAATTTTTGTTTTCCTTCACAAAAACATTTTCTGGAGATTCGTTCAGAATGATGAATGAATTTTGCCTAAGTGTGTGAACAGGAGGTTTTGAATTTATTTCAAATGTAAAGATTATTTTAAAACAAATTTTGCAAATGATTTTTTTTCTTCAATGTTACTTTTATTAAAATGAATAGAATTCAAGGCATTAATTGGAGGTATGCTAGCTGCTTCATTTGACAGTTAATGATGCAACATTTGCTGCTAAATACAATGCTAATATCGAGACCTGCTAATATCACTTGTATGCTTATTATTTGATGCAGAGAGAGAGCTGTGACATCATACTATGAGACAAAGAATGAGAATCTAGAATACATCTTGCCAATCCTAACCAAACCATTTGACTTCAAGAAAAGAAAGTAAGTTACCAGCAGGGAATACAAGGAATATTGGATTGTATTCTGGCAATCTTTGTCCATTCTGAGAGATTGAAAGATTGATCTCAAAGTTTACTTTGTACTCCTTGGCTGGCTTTCTGGGCATGTACCTTTTATACACGTAGACAATCCAGATATTCATTTAAGATATCAGTCCTGAAACAATTTATCTTGAGTAAGCAGATTAAGGTTAGTATAATAGGGTGATTGTTTGTGTCTGCAATAATGTAGGATTTTGTTTGTTAAATGTATCACCTTGATGTTAGATATGATTACAACTTTATGGTGCAGCAACAGATGTTGGGATTTCTCTTTATTTGTTTACGAAGAGAAAAGCTCCTGATTGAAATACGGCACATAGTTTTCTTTTCTCTAGCTTTTTCAGAATGTGCTGTTTAAGAAAATTCACATTAACCCTACCACACTAATTCAGCAACATATTATGGAACATCTACCTTATGGCTATCATATATTCTACCATCATTTTACAACTAACGTATTCTTTGTGGAATGTAATTGCTTTAGACCTGTTACATGTATTTCTCACTGTGTTTCTGTTTTGATGTATTAGGTCAATGACACCGAGTTGGGAGGATCAGATCATCTTCAATGAAAGCTATCAGTATCTCATTCAGAACAGAGATGATTGTCCAAGTATCATTCTCTTATTTGAAGTAAGTATAGCAAGTTTAAACCTAAAATGCAGAAGAGGGGGAGGGGGGGGGGGGGGGGGGAGGGGGGCAGAATCCACCCCTTGACTCATGCTAATTTTATGACTTTACAGCCCAGAGCTTCATATCTTCTGACAACGACTATATTTTGTTTGTTTGTTTTATTTCCGTATAAAAAGACATCATGCATTCAGTAATATAATAACAAATAGAATAATGAATAACTAGATAACATAAACGGCTGGATAGCCCATATTCAACGGTATCGTTATGATACCGCTGGTCTTCCATGGGGACCAGAAATGATACAGTAAAACAATACAATAAATATCAATATACATTAACAAACAACAAAGAAAAACGACAAAGAAAAATGGCAAAACATGAATTCTCGAGCAAAATATAGTAAGAAATTATGAAATTCTGACCAACAGATACCGTGCAATGTTGAAAATTGCTGTGGTGCAGCGAACAAATTATCTGTGCATGAATATATGAATAATTAATTAACGATAATTCCAAATATATACCTTCTTACGAAATGTCACTGGATTCTTGTGGTTTGTTCAAAGTTTTCTCTTCCAAATGATATCATGAAATTCATGTTTTGGTATTCCTTTTCAGATTCTGGATTTTGTGAGTATGACAACTGCTAGTTCCAGACCAAGACTATTCAAAGGACAAGGGACGTGGCACAGAATAGCCTGGGCATTCCTCAAGGTACAACTTTGCCAACATTTATCTTCTTTCACCCCCCCCCCCATCTCTATCTCTCTCTCTCTCTCTCTCTCTCTCTGCCATGTAAGATATGTTGATGAATGCAACAAACAAAAGCGAAAGCAGACAGCCTAGAAAAGGCGCTGAAAATGGACATGGATGTATATAGCATTTATCATGAAAAAGATGTTAAGAACAAAATGTTGAAAGATTGATTAGAATTTAAGGTCCATTAAAATCGTTTTTCTGTAGCCATTTACATTTGAAATAATAATATTCTGTTCTTGCAGTTTTAAAGGACTGGATATGATAACCCTTGCTTTAGCTCCAGCAACTGTAGCACTCAGTACATCAAAAAAATAAATCCTACCGGTTACCCACATACAACACCTGGGTCGAGAGTGTAGCAAATGTAAAATAATGTATTGCCAAAGGATGTTAGTGCTAGCTGCGACAGGGTATTAAACCTAATACCTTGTGGTTCACAATCCAGGACTTATCCACTACACAGAAGGTATTAGGAATAATGTTTGACTGAAAATTTGAATACTATTTTTGAATTTGAATAATAATTTGACCTCATTAATTCTTGTCTTTACAGCTTGTTGGAGCTAATGGTGCCCCCAACACAGAGAAGAAAGTCCGTCTACAACTCTTTCACCCACCGTTTGCATACAAGGCTAAACCAGATCAACTAGATGTAAGTGTTATATAACCTCTGCTTATATAGAGACAAAAGGGTGCTACATCCATGTTAGGTGTTACAGTCAAACCTGCTTTAGTGACCACCTGTCTACAACATGCACTTTTTTTGTTTTCCTTGAAAATGATTTATCATTGAAACATGTACTAAAGGAACCTGTCTACAAATACCACTTTTTGTGTTTCCTTTGGGCGGTTGTTGCTGTAGACAGGTTTGACTGTATTAGGTAATGCCCTTTTGGCATTTGAAAGCAGCTACCGTAAATCTCCGTGTATAAGGCGCACCTGTGTATAAGGCGCACCCCTATTTTGGGGAAGGAAAAAAAAAAAAAAAAAAAAAAAAAAAAAAAAAAAAAAAAAAACGTTTTTTGTTGTTGTTGTTGTTTTGTTGCCGAAAACCCACGCGGGGAAGGACCTTCATTTTACATCGAGGTGCAGTTGAAGGCGCTGATTTGTGCTTGTGAACTTGTCACAAATAATAGTAACAATGTCGTTTTTAGAAGAATGTGTAATATCATTAATGTAAATTAAAAACAAAAGAGTACATATGGTACCAGTGGTGCACCTTGTGGTACACCATTTGTTATAGAAAAAAATATTTGAGGAATTATTATTATAAACTACATATTGAGATCTATTAGAAAGATTACTTTCAAACCAAGATGACAGACAAATTTGAGTGTTGTTGTAGTTTCCGAGTGGTGAGTCAACACACTGATTAATGAGCTGGGTGACATTGCCAGGCATAGCGCCATAAATCGAAACTAAAAAAAAAAAAAAAAAAAAAAAAAAAAAAAAAAAAAAAAACTTTTTTTTTCTGTACCTGTGTATAAGGCGCACCCCCGACTTTCAAATTTTTTCGGCGGCAAAAAAGTGCGCCTTATACACGGAGATTTACGGTAATACAATTACATTCACTTTCAAGAGAATGGATCTCTGCCCGATCATATAAACATATGTGAAAAATAGTTGATGTGTGGGGCTCATGCTCCACACTTTTAAATGATAGCCAAACGTAAATAAAGAGTCGGTGCATGGTGCTGGTAGTGTGGATCAGAAAATTTATTTGATGAATAAATGGGAAACTGAAACCCTCTAGAATAAGTGGTAAACAGGAAAGAAAACAACTATGCCATCTCGGTTAACTATGGTTGAACCTTAAGGTTTGCAGCTCGTAAATACCTGCATCATCCATCCCTCAGCGGCTGTGTATAAAACTGTAACAAAATACGGGCTACCTTGACAGCTTCAGTGACCGTGGTGAAAATACCGGCCTCGTTTAATGTAAGTGGACAAATGTCGGTTATACAAAATGCCCATCAGGGCCTTGCCTGACATACCTCCACATCCA